AGAAGACAAAAATGGTACACAGTGAAGAAACAACCTGGCATATAATTGCATTAATCTTCTTTAGGAAGAGACTTAGGGCTTAATGCAGACCTTCCCAATGGACTCTAAAATATCTCCAGATTCCTTATAAAATTGACAAATTTCATCAGTTCAATATTAAAATAACTAAACTACCTTTTTCTTTGTAAACAGCAGATGCCTGATTGTAATCACACCTCATAGACTTGAGCAAACAAAAGTTTGCACTGATACTACCATAGGACCTAAACATTTTGGATTTTACATTATCCATAGCTGGATCAATTATAAGAGGATAATTCATTGAAGTTCAGTACTATAATCCACATTTACAAACTTGGCTTCTGTTAATGGTGGTCCAACTAACAACAGCATGAGAAATTCCTTTCCCCTGGTTTTCAGGAATGAGAAGTATACCTCATATAATGGTGGGAAATGGAGTCATTGCATACAATTTATCTATTGTGCCTCCCTTGGTTTGGCATTAAGTGGAGATAATTTAATATTTTTTCTCTTGACATAGGGAGGAGAGGCATCTCGGCCTGATATGGAGCAGAAGACAGGATTTGGAAGGGGTGAAAGAGAATGTAGATTGCAAAATCATGTATTAATTATCTGGTGTCAAATAAACACTACACCTGAAGTGGCCCCCAGAAAAGGAAGTTTTGAAGGTTTCAAAAGCATTCCTGAGAAGAGGTTTCAAAGATTATCTTATTGAAGGTATATGCCCAGTAATAAGCACCAGCATCTTCATTATTGCTAGATCTGACTAGGAAAGGGTAACTTTTTCTTGGCAGAAGCATGGGTGTGTATGTATTGTGCAAATGAAATAATTTTTTAAAAGGTTACAATTAGACAACTCAAGTTTAAGTAGTCCTCACGATCTGAGACTAGGTCTAAGGTCAAAACTTAGCTTCTAGTCCTAGTTAAAACTGCCAAAATTCAAGCCAATTCTTTGTCCTCACTGCTATTTTAAATTAAGATATTTAATTTAAAATGCAACTTCATATACAGCAGCAATAAATCTGGATCCCCACCTCCTTCTCCTTAAGGGACACTTTCCAATGATTGGCCCTCTGAGTTCTGCTTGATGGGGCTTCTTGGACTCACTTTATCTTGAAACAAGAAACAGCAAAACTTTAATGAAGTAATTTGTTTTAGGGACTTCAGTATATATGCCCAATTATGCTTACTGTCAGCAAAGTTACCAGTGTTTGCTTGATGCTCACGTCAAGGAATCTGAACCTGACGTAAATGTGACTGATTATTTTCCTTCTTGATTACTTGTCACTATTCAATTCAGTGTTGAGGTACCTACTGAAGGAAGCATTCCCCAAAGAGGACATTTATCTTCTGGGTAGGTCTCCTTCGCATAAGAGGTAACATGAACCAGCTCTTCTAGAAAGTAATCTAGGAAAGTGCCCATCTCATCTTTCACGTCTGCTAGCAGGATTTCTGTACTACGTATTTATCAAGCAGGGACCCGATTTTCTCCAAGAAGAAGGATTAATTATATTTATTGCCCAATGGGATATGTCTTGGACAAGTCCAATAAGAAGTTTTAGTATAACCTGCCACAATTTTCAGGTTCCTCTGCCTCCTGGGGATTTTGTTTGTTTGTTTGTTTTGCTTTGTTAGTTTTCTTTTAAGTGGAAAATAATACAAGTGAAGATTTATTTTTTTTTTCACTGAACAGTTTGAAAATAATGGTGTTGGAAGTTCTGGAGTTTGGACAATTTCTGCATACCATTTGCATAAGGGGAAATGAAAAGCAAAACAGCTGTTGGGCAGCCAAAGTCATTCTTCTTTTTAGGTCCTCTCATGTCCTTTTGTTTAGCCAGTGTCAAGTATTTCCACTGGAAAGAATACCTTTACCCACATGCCTTACCAAGCCTAGCACTTGAACACACATCTTGTGAGAAATGAGGTCTGAGGGAGAAACAAGCAAATATATGTAACATAATGGACAAAAGTGTTTAAAAAGAGCTTAAGAAGTACCAACCTAAAAGCACCTAGGAATAAGCTTTCTGAACAGTATAAATTGTCACCATAAATAAGGAAAAGTTCACGTCTCCTCTAAATATACAAAAGAGTACATAAATGCACTATTTGTTCCTTAAAAAAAAAGTTTTAATTCAACCATTTCTACAAAAAGTTCAGTTTTTCCTTTCGCTAGGACAGGAAATTTCAAACACCTACTTTCAAATGTAATCTAAAAAGCTATTAATTTATTTAATGTATTTGACATAACTAACCACCAGCAATGGTAACTTTCTGAACTAAATTACTATAAATATCAAGGAATGGAAAATGGTAACTTTTCTGACAAAGCAGAAGTAATCACCCACAGAAAGAGGTGCTCAGCATGCCTATATTAAAAATGAGTACAGATTCTCTGTTGGTGCAAACTGTAATAGGTCCACAGACTGCAACAAAGGTATGTTGAATTACAGCAGCTACAAAACTGTCCCCCAAGCATTATACTTATGCCCTGTTAAATACTGAGCTAAAGTGCATTCCAAAATGTAGCTTCTTATTTAGACAGGCCCCCTCAAGGAGTTTCCCCTTATAGGACATGACTGCCACGCTGTTTCTGATAAAAGGCAGTCACTAAGGACGCTGTTTTGCTGACCCTTGTGATACATTTTGAGAGGCTTCAGAGGCGGAACCAGCAACAAGTGGAACAGCCTCCAGGGTAGGAACAGCAGCACAGCAACTGAGAGCAGATACTCAAATTGAAACCTGGACCACACTCTAGTATTCCAAATATGAGTAAATTAGCACTATTTTTTTCTTCTGTACAGGGAAAGTGCTAGATTTTTTATTAAATTAAGTCATAATATAAATTCATTTGCATTTAAGCACTTCAGCACTGAATCTGTTAGTACTCATGGTATTCCTGCTACTAGAGCCCAAAGCAGAGTGTGGACTAGAGTGTGCATAACTTATGCAACTGATCAAAGCCTTCTATCTCTACCTTCTGATACTATGTCAGCATGAGCCTAAGCAAAGGTTGCAAGCTCTGAAAGAAATGTAATCCAGTCCACTTCTTGTGGAGTGGGTCATAGATTCAACATCTGAAGACTGATAAATAAAGTGAATCAATAAGTAAGGCCTTCCGTAAGGCCTTAGTAACAAGCACAAACTTTCAAAGTGCAGCCTGTACAATTTGAATTAATTTAGAAAACAACATTCAGAAATTTGTGGAATGGGCCTGAAAAACATCAAAACATCTAACTACTTTGAGTCAGTATTCCTTATATTACTTCTTTTATAACCCACTTTCATCACCATTATAAAAAACATACACAAATTCCTTTCTGGATATAAGAATAGTTGCGTAATATTTATTGCTGCTCATTAGCATGCTCAGTTTGTTGATAGATTGGCTTCATATCATATGGGGGAAAAGGAAATTGGAACCAAAACCAAAAAGCAGTTTAATTATTTTAATTAATTCCAGCTTTCAAAATAATGCAGAAAGCTACTGAATATTTAACAAGCTATACAAACCAAAAATACACTTATGCTGCATAGTACAAAATGGAACTGTGGAAAGGTAGTCCTTCAGGCTCTTTTGTAAATCACATTGGAAGATAAAGCAAACTTGATCGTAACTGCTCTTTGTGTAAATGTAAATAGGTGGGTTTGATTATATATGTCAATGCAAGCTACAGATTATCAATAATATCCAAAGAAAAGCACATTTGCAAAACTGATTGCTAACCCAACGAAGACAGACTCAGATTCATGCAATCAAACTCTCTTGCTATGGAATTAGGGGTCTTGGACTCCCTGCATACATCCATTGTTCTTAACATATTGGACCAACTAACTAACTTAATTAGTTAGAAGTAAAAGTGCAACCTAAGAGACCCTCATAAGTCATGTAAACTAAACGGGTAGGGAGGTCTGTAGGTGTCAATCAATAACAAAATGCAAACTGTCAAGCTTGCTTTGCTAACAAACTGTCACATCAACAATATGCAGTTAATGACTACAAATTAACTGTATACCAGATGCTTGACACTTTGTTATGACACTTAGCAAGCTAGTTGACATTTGAGGGATCAAAGCTTCTGTAATTACACTTTGTATAACATGTGCAACCTTTATGCTAATGTCCACGTATACCTTAGAGCAAGACTGTTCAAGTGGCAGAGACAGGATTTTTTGGACTTTGAAACATTCTCAGATCTGGATTTCATCTGAAACAAAACTGCTGGAACGCTGCATATCATTAGTCAGTATTATCACCTTATCTAAAGTAACTCTTTAATTTGATGTACTGTACCATATTCACTCATTTATAGACACCCTTTGCGTGAAATAATGCATTTCCAAAGTGTCAACAGTATCTATAAAAGAAAAAAGCACTAGACATATTGCATTTAAAAGAATGTCTGTGTTCAAACTGCTGATGCACTTTAACACCACTCACCAATTTAGTTTTTACTATACAGCCTTTATTACATTCGATGTTAATTCTACTGAATCTTAACCACTGTGAGCACTATAGTGCACCAGTAGAGATCTACTCTGTGGAGGGCTCCTCATCCCAAAACTTTGGGGTAAGTTTTCAAACTGCATGAAGCACTGAATCCTTTACTCTATTCTTTGAAGCATGCTTGCATCATAAATTATATTAATCATATTCACCTGACTTAATACAGAGGACTCAAGCATCTCCACCTGAGCAAATAATTCCTTACTCTCAACTGAGAGGAACAGGAACTTATAAGCCATAATTCATCTGATCTATTTTAGATTATCACATCGGGAGCAGATTAAAAGTGTGTATTCCTTTTTTACACACCTCACCTGCAGATGAATCCCTTCTTTGGGGCTTCCAGTATGATCTACCAAAGAACTATTCTATGCAAGTATCTACATGGTAGATGGTACCTGTTGCTTGTTTGTATGCTTAGCAAAGCTACTCACTTGTGCTTTTACCTCATGATCTAGAATGTAAATTTGACCACTTTACGGTTCAGTGTATCACAATTATTCATATTCATCATAATCTAGCTAACAATTCCTATTAGCAGACAAAAGCAACAGGAGAAATATTACTTCCAGATGCTTCCTAAGTGATGGTGGGATACAAAAAAGGCTAGTCAGGGCTGAACATGACAGCTTGACCACCCAGCTGGATATTCTGTGTGAAGAATGATATTAGCATACTGATTTTTTTTGTTTGTTTGTTTTCCAGGATCCACTTGAATCTTTAGGTTCCAAGAGTAAAAAACATGCCCTCATGACTCTTACAGTATCAAAGCCATGTAAGTGATGTTATTTATCTCCTTCTATGTATTCTTAATTATTTCATGCTGGACACAGTTTGCTTGTGTCATATTCTAATTAATGGTACAATGTGTATATTTATCTGCCTTCCATTACATAGCACAACTCTGCATGTGGTCAAATGACCATGGATACACATGCCTTTCATTATAAATCCTTCTAAAGCATCACCCATCATCTACAAAGAGCAGCACAGAAACTAAAAAGCTGAAGAGACAATCACAGAGAAACATAAAGTGAAAATCTGTTGTATGAATTGCCCATGCAATGCTCAAGACTTAATGGGTCTGCAGTGCTAGACTTCTGAACACCATTTAACCCAGCTATGAAATCCAAAAGATCTGCTAATTCAGTTTATCTTTCTCCTATGCAGTAGCAGGAATACATAGTCAAACTAAAGAAATGCAAAAATTCATTCATTCTTACTACATTTTCAATCACCAGAGGCAGTTCTGCTTGCTGTCAGTTGATCTCTAAAAAATATTTATTTCAAAATTAGGTTTTGAAAAAGCCCAGCAGCACTAAGTCCACATCTTTACTCAGTTTTTCCCTATAAACTGTATTTTGGGTAGGGGCAGTGGTGCAATTCTATTCCAAGAGTGAGAGTTGTAACAAATGTGATTTTCCAAGTTCTGCATGTTTTAGCAGTTTTGCTTTTCAGGTGCTCAGTATGAAAAACACTACATTCTAGCTTGCCGAGTATGCCAGTAACAGACAGGCATTTCTTAATAAGAAACTCAAAGTTTAACTTTCTGCTTATTATTTGCACCTAAATTAATCTGGGGTAATCATTTTTAGTCCTTCTACTCTAAGCAAATAAAAAGGAAAACCACCAAACCTAACACCAGCATCATGTATCTGTAAACCTTAGGGAAGCTTATTTTCTTTCATCTTTAAAAATATTACTCAGATGAAAGGCAGATGTTTTAGACCAAGAATGATTGTGCAACTGATATAATATCAGTGGTTATCTATTAGGGAAAATAACAGAATTATCATTTCCATTACTTCCTATATGCTTCTATGAGCCATGTAGCAATAATTCTGTAAGTTTCCTAATATAATTTTAAGTGCTGCATGTTTGAAAAAAAGTAAAAATTATATGAATATATCCACTTATGAAAAAAGCTTTCGCTGATTAGAGCTCATTTCCCTAATATACAGATTTCTAAAGACAGTGCTATTTTAGTTATGTAAAGCATGTAAAAATTGGCATGTGCTCAATCACAGCTGAATCTGAAATGAGCCTGTCATTTTAGACACCACACTTTGGGGGTAGGAGAGGGTAAGCTCCTCCAGAAGAACTTTTTCTGGAGATTATATGGCTAATGGTCTCCTCGCATGACATTTTTCAGTAAGATTACATCAGTTTATTATTTTCAACCTTATTTTCCAAGCAGAAGCAAGCAGAAGATAGCATTTCTTAACAGAAGACTCCGAATGGTTCTTGCTCTCCTTGCAGAATGAACAAGCTACTCCAAATAATGGTCTTATCTGACTGGAGCTGCAATATTGGTTAACATTGTATCCAAGAAATGGGAAATACCTGACCTGTTGTACACATCTGTATCTATGCTAGCCTGCCTTGCTGTGTTTTCCATCCGATGGAGAGAAACAGGCAATTCCAGGCACCAATCATCTCATCCTTCGGTGATCATCTCAAATAGGTCAAGTGAATCGTAGCCCAAGAAGCACCTGCTTCTTTCCACTCACTACAAAGGTAGCAAGCTCAAATACTGGTGTCTGAATAGCAGAAAACTAAATCTGGCCTCATGAATCCTACCTCAGACAGTATTTGACAACAGGAAACAAAGCCACATACTACTTAGAATTTTTGCAGGACAACCATCCAAATGAACAAGCGAGAGTAACTCAGCAAAGATCTTAAGTGTCTGTCTCAAAATGATAAGAAAGAGAGAAGTTAGTTAAGTGAATATCCCATCCTGCTACCTCATCTTGCAGCCCCTAAAGAAAGATAAGAAAGTTTCTGACTCAAGTTAAGTATGCATGCAACTGCAGGATTGCTTTAATTCACATACATACATACATACATACATACATACATACATACATACATACATACATACATACATACATACATACATACATACATACATACATACATACATACATACATACATACATACATACATACATACATACATACATACATACATACATACATACATACATACATACATACATACATACATACATACATACATACATACATACATACATACATACATACATACATACATAAAATCTCTTATGTGTGAAAATAATACATTATTTCTTTGGGCATATTCAGTTCAGAAGCACCTAAATATCTTCTAATTAATTGAAATTAAAAACATTTGAAAGAGCTAGCCTCATTACTGCCATGTTTAGCTTACTTTTTTTCTCCATTTCCTGAGCAAAGCACAACTAGAATTCTTTATTCTGATTAAAACAGACACTTATTTTTTCAACCTGTAAAAACAAAACTTATCTTGAAAACCTGCTTAAATCTGTCACCATTGTAGAATTCTTATTTGAGGAGAGTTCACAAACTTCATAAGAGAAAATATTATGGGTCACTGCAAGAAAACTGAATTGGAAAAAAAGCTTCTCATCAGTTAACAAAACCCCCTGATATCCAAGCAGCATGCACATAGTGATACTAAAAGCTCGCAATGGAACTTCAGAGGGCTATCAAGCCATGAAAGATCTCATAAAAAGAAAAGTGATTAACTTATTTAAACTGAGCAGGAATAAGAGGCAAATCTACTTCTCTGTCATTTCTTCTTATGTACATAGCATTTTGCTTTGGAATAAACGGATCTCATTATCAATACTAGACTAATCATATAGCAGAGAATGAAACAAAATTTACAGAATACAATTCTGTTGCCCATGAAAGAGAAAACAACTAATTCAATGAACCACAAATTGCTAGTGTGAATTCAGGCTAAGAAATACGATTTAAAACAAAACAAAACAAAACACCTGAATTTTTGGATTAGTAAATTACTGAGTGATTTTACTGGTCTACAATTTCGTATGCATTTCTGTAAAACTATTTATAAAACTCCCTGATTTACCAGCTGTATATTTAACAGCATTTTAAAAATAAATATTTAAATTAACATAAGCTACCAATAAATGTACTTACTACAATTAAAAAGCCATACATCAGCTTCGTAATGCGTCCTTAACCAGGCCAGAAGTAGTTCGTGGGGTGTATTACAGTTGTAATATGGTTAAGAGGATGTATCCATAGCAGATGAAAGTTTGCTCTCAATTCATTGCCTCTAATAAAATCTATGAGATCAAGCACAAAAAGCCTGAGCAAGGGAATGGTAGCTAAATACATCTAGTTCAGAAGACAATAAAGTTGTTAAAGGACAATCATGTAAAGGTATTATGTCACTTAATATGCCTATAAAAAGTTCAAAATAGTTAAGTAGGATAAATATTTGTTTCACAAAATGTAACCTGCTTAAGATTTTTATGTCTAAATACTGAACATTTTACAGGTTTGTAGGATAATGCAACCATTTCAAAGTACACAACACGAAGGGGCTTTTCACTATGGTACCAAGCTTCTGTTGATACCCTGGCAAAACATTTTAATAAATCAAGAAGCTATCTATGGAACTGAAAAAAAGAGAGCTCATATTCTTCTATCAAGCAGTATACAGAATATGAGAATACAGCCTACTATTCTGTACAGTCCTCAGTATTCTGTAACCACTACATCATGTTCTATATATAGTAACGAGTACTTATTCTGTTCCTGAAATTAAACATGAAAACAGTCAGATATTCAAGTGTTGTATTTTTTACTGCTTGTTGACTTGTCACATGAAACAGGATCCTGGGACATGACTAACGTAATGCAAAGGTAAATCATTCAGCTCTGTGTGTCCTTGGCTGTCACATGGGTTTAGAGTTATCTTCTCAATATATGTTGGGGTTTTTTATCTTTCCATCTCCAACAGCAGTTAAGGCTAGACTATTATTTAGAGGAACACTAAAGGGGAGCCTCCAGCCTGGAACTTTTACTGATAGTGTAATTAATTAGTTAATAATATTCACTTGGTAAGTATGAGCAGATAAAGATTATTTTGCAGAAATTTGCAGTGCTGCCCCAATGTCCCCCTCATATAACTGCTACAAATAGCAAGGGCCTGTGAATTTATTGTGCAATTTTAAGCTTTCTCACTCACACTGTAGTTACAAATGGTCTGCTCTCCTTCCACTTAGATTTCGGTATCTGCAGTGCAGAAACACCCATGTGGCACAGCCCTCCTATATACTTCTTTCGTAACAGTGGTGCAACAGAGGAACTTCTACAGTTTGCTTCATCTAACCAGTTTTTAACTTGTATATAACAAAGTGAATAACATCTTAAAAACAGGTGCTTGACTATCAAGTCAAGGGTCACTGGTTAGTAGTTCGGATGGAGAGTTCCACAATGTAGCTGTAAATTGGGATGAACCAGTTTCCACTACTGCTCATCAAAATATTCTGGACACTTGCAAGTGCAGGTCCCATTGGTGGGATGTTTGAGAAATGTTCTCCATCTCCAGATCATGGCTGATATGTATGCTATGCATCGTGTATCTAGGAAATAGAATGAGACCACAGTGGAGTACAAGAAAGTACAGTTTTCTGGGACAGTATTGAAGGATTTTTTTGAAGTGGAAATAAACAAACCTAGTGCTGTC